CGCCCCCACGGCTGAAAGGGCGAGCTTGTTTGGTGTAACGGGGATTCGAATCCGCGACCCGCAGACTGCGAGTCGAGCGCCTTGACCACCTGGCCATGCCGGGCCTTTTTAAATATATATATATATTTCCAATTGATACAAACACCAGTGCTTTGCAGAATAGCTATCACTGGCGAACTCAGTAACAAATGAATTATGAGCTTCTTTTGAAAGTGTTTGCATATTTGGGTTACACGCTTTTTTTATATAAAATTAAAATATGAAATAATAATTATTATTAATAAATTATAGTTAACATAAAAAGGTAGGCTTGTCGTATACAAGAAACTATATGTTTTCTATTTCTCTGTATTAACATAAAATTTGTTATTCTATATTGTTTTCACATCACGTAGGTCAAGATTGTCGTTAAAATATTTCTACTTTAGCTTCCCGTTGTACGATGTCATTAGGTAGCATTTTTTTGTCTTTTTTTGCGAAAGATAATTGTAAGGTCACATATGGGATGTGAAATTATGTGTCTTTTTCCACTAGAGGTCAGGTAACCTCTAGAGGTTACGACCTCTCTTGTATTTCGTAAGAGGAATGACTTGTAATGTGTATAGCACTTGTTTCTCTAAACAAGTCTGACGTTAACTATTTCAGCAGCTAATGTGTGAATTATTCAGTATGTAATCTCTCAAAAGATATAATTTGGAATACAGTCTTGAAAGATACAGTTTGGAACATGAGATCACCAAGTTAGTACTAACTCTTCAGTAAAGGCAACTGTCCATTGTGACGATAAGTTAAATATGCATTTTTACTGTGTACATCTTAAATAAAAATTGTTGAATTTAATCATACAATTGTGCTTAGTCTTTATATACTTATCACAGCTTCAGTACTCAGAGAACGTAGAATTACTTCTCAGTAAATATCTCGTCGTATCTTTCAGTATCTAGCAGACCTGTCTTGTTACTCTCAATGGAATCAGTCTTACCAGAAAGTACCACAGAGTGGAAAGGAAAGGAGAAGATTTTGGTGTCGTAACCACAGAATATCTTATTTGATTGCGTCTCTTGTGTGTACCAACTTTACTTAAACTCTTGTTAAGTTTAAAAAGCTTTGTTATAAGAATAAGTAGAACAATATTTCAAAAACAGTTGAAAGTGTAGGAATGAGTGTACCAAAAACTGAGGAAACACCTTAGAAATAGAAATTGTGTGATAAAACTTCCTTTGTACAACCTCACAAGGGGGTGTGTCCAACATTTGTTAAAGAGCAAGTTTTATTACATCTTTCCCATTCCTACCTTGTTTCCTCACTTTTTGGTACATCCATTCCTACCATTTCATTTTTTAAATATTTTTCCATTTGTTCATGCACTTTTTTTCATACAAGGTGACATGATCTTATGCATTATTCATTCTTTGTGTTGATATCCTGTATGTGTATCATCAGTGTGGGAGTGCACCATAATATTATTGTATTTGGAAATAATGTTGTGTGTGTGGTGTGTATTCTCTTCTTTTATGGTATGTGTACACACTGTAAGCGTGCATGTATGCTGTACGTAATATGACACACACTCTACAGTGTGCAATGTCATTTGGGTGACAGTTGTGGTTGTGTGCATATACTAAGGGTTAATAGACTAGTTAGTTAATTTAATTAACTACTTCATCTAGTTCAGGCAACAACTAGAATTTCATGTAGATAAATCTGGTAATGCAGGTTAACATTTATGAAAGAAACAGGTTTAAAGTGGACTTTGTTTTGTTTGTTTACATGTAAATACACCTTTAATTACTACAACACTGCATAGCTACATGTAATTATCAGTCTGTTTTTACTCCAGTGTTAGTTAACTCAGCTACACTGATAATTACTACAACACTCTATGGCCAGGTGGTCAGGGCGCTCGACTCGCAATCTGCGGGTCGCGGGTTCGAATCCCCCGTCCCACCAAACATGCTCGCCCTTTCAGCCGTGGGGGCGTTATACTGTGACGATAAATCCCACTATTCGTTGATAAAAGAGTAGCCCAGGAGTTGGCGGTTGGTGGTGATGACTAGCTGCCTTCCCTCTAGTATTACACTGCTAAATTAGCATTATACTGTGACGGTAAATTCCACTATTCGTTTATAAAAGAGTAGCCCAAGAGTTGGCGGTTGGTGGTGATGACTAGCTGTCTTCCCTCTAGTATTACACTGCTAGATTAGGGACAGCTAGCGCAGATAGCCCTCGTGTAGCTATGCGCGAAATTCAAAACAAAACAAACTACATTGCATAGTTACATGTAATTATCAGTCTGTTTTTACTCCAGCGTTAGTTAACTCAGAGATATGGATTTAAAGTCTTGTAAACCAATAGGTATACTGTGAGAAAAATACCTTTCGTCCCTTTTTTGTATAGTGGCGGGATTCATCAGTGGGCTCCCACACCTACTCAGTAGGTGGAGTGATCTAGTGTAGGTATGTATTTTAAAACGGCATTCTTGTTCAAGATATATGAGTGTGGTATTCATGGCCTTTCTCAATCTAACTCACTTGAACGAATGATGTACGTCAAATGGCTTTTTTTTCTTTCAGTATAGAAAAACACTAACACGCGATCCCTGTGCTATTATTTTATTTGATACACTTATAACTATGATACGTCTGTTTGTTACACAGCTAGAAGTGTTCAATAATGCCAATCAGCGAGATTGAGAATTTTATGGATTTATTAATTTTTTGTATTTGCTCTGCTGACTTTTTCGAGTGGTTCTATGACTTGTAATTTTGTATATGGTTTTTGTCATCTAAGAGTGTTTCTTAAATAGTTTTTAAGATTTCATATTTGGCTTTTAATAGTGTATATAAGTAAACAGTCTGTATTGCATGTATTGTGTATCTGCCTCATTCCCACTATAAGTACTAAGAATAGTTAGTCCATGAAGAGAGATGGTTGTCTGAGAGGAATGTTGGATCTAGGAGAAGTTATCTCCTTGATGTTGGGTTTTCGTCTATGCTGCAAAGGTCCATGACTTCTTTCTTGTTACAACCAATGACTCAAGAAGGAGAGCTGCAAATGTTTGTCAATCATGACCTGCCTCTAAAGTTCGATCTAAGTGTAAGGGAGCCATAAACAACTAAGAGATGTCGTAGTGGTATGGCACCTGAAGAGTCTGAGACTGACTGGGTCGATCTCCGTAGAACTTTCAGGCCTTCGATACCTTGTATAACTTCATCCCAGCTCTAGTCAAAGCCATGAGAAAGTAAAGAAAGACTGAGGGGTGCAGTTGGCGGGCATCATCTACCAACATGTGATACAGTGAGCATCTAATGTTGAGGGAAGTGTTCCACGGAGTAGTCAAAGCTCGCCAAGCCAAAGGTATCCCGCTAAGTATGAGGGTTGGGAATCCTGAAGGTGCCTACTACTCTGTGCCCACAATGTCGACGATATCTCAGTCA